CAGCCTGGCCGTCAGCCTTTGCTGCTCCAGGGTTGCAGCCTGCCCTTTGCCTGCACATCCCTCGCGGCAGCTTCCACCAAGCTCCTGGCCGTCAGCATTCCAGCATTGTAGCCTGCCATTGCCTGCACATAGCCCTCTCTTGTTAGGGCATTCAAGCCTGCCCTTTGCCAGGCTTCAAACCCCTAAAACCCTCCAATTCCCTCGCGGCAGCTTCCGCCTGCATATAGCCCTCTCTTGTTAGGGCATTCGAGCCTGCCGTTTGCCAGGCTTCAAACCCTTACAACCCCTAAAACCCTCCAAATCCCTCGCGGCAGCTTCCGCCTGCATATAGCCCTCTGTTGTTAGGGCATTCGAGCCTGCCGTTTGCCAGGCTTCAAACCCTTACAACCCCTAAAACCCTCCAAATCCCTCGCGGCAGCTTCCACCAAGCCCTCTGGCCGTCAGCTTTTGCTGTTCCAGCATTGCAGCCTGCCCTTTGCCTGCACATAGCCATAGCCCTCTGTTGTTAGGGCATTCAAGCCTGCCGTTTGCCAGCCTTCAAACGCTTAAAACCCGTAAAACCGGCAGCTTCCACCAAGCCCTCTGGCCGTCAGCTTTTGCTGTTCCAGCATTGCAGCCTGCCCTTTGCCTGCGCATAGCCCTCTGTTGTTAGGGCGTTCAAGCCTGCCGTTTGCCAGCCTTCAAGCGCTTAAAACCCCTAAAACCCTCCAAATCCCTCGCAGCAGCTTCCACCAAGCCCTCTGGCCGTCCTTCTTTGCTGTTCCAGCAGTGCAGCCTGCCCTTTGCCTGCACATAGCCCTCTGTTGTTAGGGCATTCAAGCCTGCCGTTTGCCAGCCTTCAAACGCTTAAAACTTAAAACCCCTAAAACCCTCCAAATCCCTCGCAGCAGCTTCCACCAAGCCCTCTGGCCGTCCGCCTTTGCTGTTCCAGCAGTGCAGCCTGCCCTTTGCCTGCACATACCCCTGTGTTGTTTGGGCGTTCAAGCCTGCCATTTGCCAGCCTTCAAACGCTTAAAACCCCTAAAACCCTCCAAATCCCTCGCGGCAGCTTCCACCAAGCCCTCTGGCCGTCAGCTTTTGCTGTTCCAGCATTGCAGCCTGCCCTTTGCCTGCACATAGCCCTCTGTTGTTAGGGCGTTCAAGCCTGCCGTTTGCCAGCCTTCAAACGCTTAAAACCCCTAAAACCCTCCAAATCCCTCGCGGCAGCTTCCACCAAGCCCTCTGACCGTCAGCTTTTGCTGTTCCAGCATTGCAGCCTGCCCTTTGCCTGCACATAGCCCTCTGTTGTTAGGGCGTTCAAGCCTGCCGTTTGCCAGCCTTCAAACGCTTAAAACTTAAAACCCCTAAAACCCTCCAAATCCCTCGCGGCAGCTGCCACCAAGCCCTCTGGCCGTCAGCTTTTGCTGTTCCAGCATTGCAGCCTGCCCTTTGCCTGCATAGCTCTCTGTTGTTAGGGCGTTCAAGCCTGCCGTTTGCCAGCCTTCAAACGCTTAAAACCCCTAAAACCCTCCAAATCCCTCGCAGCAGCTTCCGCCAAACCCTCTGGCCGTCAGCTTTTGCTGTTCCAGCATTGCAGCCTGACATTTGCCTGCATAGCCCTCTGTTGTTAGGGCGTTCAAGCCTGCCGTTTGCCAGCCTTCAAACGCTTAAAACTCCTAAAACCCTCCAAATCCCTCGCAGCAGCTTCCACCAAACCCTCTGGCCGTCAGCTTTTGCTGTTCCAGCATTGCAGCCTGCCCTTGCCTGCACATAGCCATAGCCCTCTGTTGTTAGGGCATTCAAGCCTGCCGTTTGCCAGCCTTCAAACGCTTAAAACCCCTAAAACCCTCCAAATCCCTCGCGGCAGCTTCCACCAAGCCCTCTGGCCGTCAGCTTTTGCTGTTCCAGCATTGCAGCCTGCCCTTTGCCTGCACATAGCCCTCTGTTCCGTTTGCCAGCCTTCAAACGCTTAAAACCCCTAAAACCCTCCAAATCCCTCGCAGCAGCTTCCACCAAGCCCTCTGGCCGTCCGCCTTTGCTGTTCCAGCAGTGCAGCCTGCACTTTGCCTGCACATAGCCCTCTGTTGTTAGGGCATTCAAGCCTGCCGTTTGCCAGCCTTCAAACGCTTAAAACCCCTAAAACCCTCCAAATCCCTCGCAGCAGCTTCACCAAGCCCTCTGGCCGTCAGCCTTTGCTGTTCCAGCAGTGCAGCCTGCCCTTTGCCTGCACATACCCCTCTGTTGTTAGGGCGTTCAAGCCTGCCGTTTGCCAGCCTTCAAACGCTTAAAACCCCTAAAACCCTCCAAATCCCTCGCGGCAGCTTCCACCAAGCCCTCTGGCCGTCAGCTTTTGCTGTTCCAGCATTGCAGCCTGCCCTCTGCCTGCACATAGCCCTCTGTTGTTAGGGCGTTCAAGCCTGCCGTTTGCGAGCCTCCCAACCCCTTACACACTGTCTTGTTGGGGCTGCAAGAGTGCCAGCCTTCAAACCCCTAAACGCTCCGCAGCGGCCCTACGCAGTGTTTTGCTGAAGCTTCTGCTCAAGACTCCCGGTTGCCAGCCTTCAAAACGCGTCAACCCTCCGCAGCGGCCTTACACACTCTATTGTTGGGGCATTACGCCGTTTGCCAGCCTTCAGACGCGTACTGTCCGCAGCAGCACTACACATTCTGTCGTTGGGGGTTCACGAGTGCCGTTTGCCAGCCTTCAGACCTTTATTCAAACCATTAAACCCTCCGCAGCGGCTCTACACACTGTCTTGTCGAGGCTTCAAGACCACCGCTTGCTAGCCTTCAATCCCTAGCCACACTGTCTTGTTGGGGCTTCAAAGGGGGGTCGGCGGCACCCGGGCGTTAGCCCATTCTATAAAATGTTACAAAATGTTAGGAAAGAGTGTGGCTTTCTCCAAAAATAGTCCGACATCATTGTGGCTTTCCTTCAAATAGGCGATGGCATCCGCTGAGAAAAAAATCGTGACCCAGCGATCCAAAACTGCCTGGCCTCCATTCCCGGTGGATCTGAAGCACTTGCCACTCAAGTCGGTCTTGATGGACTGCGTCGGCTGGATTTTGGACCGGAATCTGAGATATCTGATGATGGATTTTAGATGTTCAAACTTTTCAGACGTTTTCCCTAATTTTCAGACGAACTCATTCTGTGAGTTTTAACATCAGCCCACCTCTTCAAGCTCCTGCATGTCCTTCTTCTTGTCCTCTGTGATTTCCGAGATCCAGATGTTCGAACGCTTCATCGTCGAGACGGGTGGAATGGCTTCAATGTTCAATGCATTACCGTATGGGTATGGGTCAAAAGCCTACAACCCTGGTACCCTAATTCCAAGTTTTGTCAGTTTTGTTGGTTAAAAAAACAAGTTTTGGACAACCATCTCCATATCATCTCCCCTTGTGCATCTCCCCATTCCATAAGCCACAGCTCCTCAATCTCCTTGGTCAAGCTCTTCGCACGTTTCACGAAGTCTTCCACCTCTACCTGTGGGGTAGCTGTGGACCAGCGGACTCAATTCGAAGCAGTGCGTTCTTGACATATCTTGACATATCTTGACATATCTTGACATATCTTGAAATATCTTGACATCCTGGGAAGCCCGGCATACTCTGCGTTGGTGCCTTTGTCAAAGGTTTCATGCACGACCAGTCGAGTGTTACATCGAAGATTGCACATCATCTCTCGGAGTCCAACACAGGGCAATGGCCCTGGTGGTGATTCGATAGGCAGCCCTCTTGGCGTCCTGGGACGGTGTCCCACAAAGATGGGGAATGTATGGAAATCCAGACACGGAAATTCACACCTTCTAAAATTTCACATGAAAGCAGCGGTTCCCGTAGTGATTTGCACATTAGGTTTTTCTGGTAAAACCTCTATAATCACCATTTTTGGATTGTTAAATTAAGCCGCATTTTTGGATGGTCAACCCATGTCAATCTCATGTGATTTGGGGGGAAAGTAGTCTCAGTTGACACAAGTCGTCCTCTGGCAATCGGTTCCCAGGCCGATTCGTCCTCAGGACAGAACTGGAAGCCATGAAAGGCCGTGCACACACTGTTCCTATGGAATATGTGAACTAATATGTAGTTTCATTATTATAGTTATTGTAGTTATTGCATGTATATATATACACATACATATTGTTATTATATACCATCATTGGACCATCATTATTATTGTTATTGTTATTACTTACATTATGATCATTCCTATTACTATCATGATTTGGTGTTTTCGTACCCTATTATTGTTATTGGTATGACTTTTATTATTCGAGTGCTTATTACTATCATCATTATCATTGTTTATATTCATCATTATTCATATGTCTCTTCATCGTATATAATATTGTATGTTTACTCTTATTAAATCTTATTGATTGATATGTATTTATTGCCCAATGTTCTACTATATATATATATATACATTATATACCCAGGTTTTTTTGGGTACAGTTCGATCTTCATTCGTGGCCACGTCTCGGCAAAATGTTTCCTACAGGACGCACTGAGAAAACGACACACTTTGAAGACTCCAAGCCAGTTCTTGCAGTTTCCTGGGATCGATGTCCGATGGAGGGAGGGAAAATGCCAGGGTCCACAGTCGAACTGAAAAAAATTGAGATCTTTGGGGAAGATTAGAGTTGTATAATGTTAATTAATATTATATTGATACTATATCAATATTATATTAATATTAGATTAATATTATATTGATATTATATTGATATTATATTGATATTATATTGGTATTATATTGATATTGTATAGATTTATTTTCAGACCATGTCTTCGCCTTCTGTCGTCAAACCCCGAACCACTGCTCTCAGTGCAGGACTTCACCCGAGGATCGTTCTCACCAATCATCTCGGGACCCTGAGAAGTTCTGCGAAGTTCGAAGTGGCGTGCAGAAAAAAATGGCAGAAAACGTCTGGAAAACTCCATGGGAAACGGATGAAATTGATGAAATGCTCCTGCAATGCTTGAAAAAAAACTGAGATGGTGAATGAAGCACAGTCTTTTCTCACAGATTCCCCCTTCGGTCGCACAATACAGCTATGAATTAGGTGCCATGGAGCTGTTCACAACGCAGCTGGCATATTGAATTCAGGTGATTCGTCTGCTACTTTCCGTCAACAAAAGCCAAAAATCATCAAAACCGGGACCAAACCTAGCCACCGAGCTTGAACCGTATCAAAAGCGTGACTTGATATCAACTGCAGCTAGCTCTCTCACTGAGACATCAAGCTCGGCCACGCCACGCCACGATGCTCCTCAAATCGGCAAAAATAGAGCATCACAGCGGAAGAGTACGGAAGAGTATGGCCAGGCAGATATCATGCAGATATCATGCAGATATCATGCAGATATCATGGTCAATCACTATTTTCTCTCAAAAGTTCAAATCAAGTTTTGCTCTATTTCTTTGACATCCAAAATGTATTGCATGCCTCTGTTCAGTTTGCCTAGACAGCATGATATAGCATCAGCTTCCAGTGGCTCCGGCTCCTGGGAAATCACCAGACTTGCAGCTGTTGAAGGAGGAAATCTCTCTGCTCCTGCTGACTCATCACCTGCTCCCAATCCTGACAGATTTCTCCTCTCCCAGCTTTGCGTCTGAAGATTTCCTGGAAAAGAAATCCAATCGCAGCTGTGAAACATGAGGAAATGATGGCATTCAGAAGGCCACCCAGCGCACTCCAGTGCGGATGCAACTTCAACAGAGATCCAAGCATGATGCTAGCAATACCCAAAGCACTCCCAGGAACGTTGAGAAGCTGCATGCCAGACATCGATGGCAGATGAATCTCATAGACGCGGGCCAGGTCTAACATCATTGTTCTCAGGATGCAAATCAAAAGCAGAAACTCAATGAAAGGCACGGGCGTTGCTCCAGCAGCCACTGCAAGAGCACCAGAGACTTGAATGAAACGCTGAGCTCGGACATCAATATCGTGCAAACGATCCATCTGATCCTCCTGAAATGATTTGGGTGCAGGAAGGTGCTTCACGGTTTCATCGTACAACTTCTGCATTCCCTGAATTGCCTTCAGGTGGTAAACATCCGCCCCAAACATCGGACACAGCGAGTTCCGGCATCCGCCTTCCTGGCCTTCCTCTACAATCTCATCGCAAGCTTCACAGACCCTCAACGGGACATCAACTGGAAGCAACGGCAGCACAGCTGTCGCCCATGGGCACCGATCCTTCACAGCTTGAAGCTGTGAACGCTTCAATGCGCAGTTCACCAAGATGACGATCGGCATTTCAGCCATTTCGGGCGGTGGCTTCCACACGGCCTCAAGTTCCTTGGCCGGCCCAGGGGAGTCAAGTTCATACAACTAACTGGCTAAGCGTGGGATGATGGGTCAAGAAGTGCCCATGAAGTCTATTAAGTCTAATAGTAAATGTGCCATCATATGCCCATACGTCCATGAACCGCATAGCTCAAAGGATCAGTGGCCACTAAATTGCTGCTGCCAAGCAGCAAGCTCTAAGTTGTCATCGACCACCCACCAAACGGCATGAAGTTGTTCAGCCAGCTCCGAAGAAACGCATTCACTGGCCTTCTTTCGTTCTAGCAAAGACTCAACAGCGCTCCACATGTCCTGCCAGAAAACTCTGCGTGTATGTCTCAGGATCTCTACTGGCTGAGGGTTTGTTGCATATACTTCCACAAAATGATCACGACAGTGTCCCAACGTCAATCTATACTGTTCAAGTTGGCACCACAAGGAAACCAAGCGGCCCCAGTCCTCCTGTCTTTGAATTTGGTACAGGTGGACAAGGCATCGTTCTGCGGCCGGACAACGGGAAATAGTTTCAGTACCAAGGCAGTCGATAGCGGCGCAGCCCAGACCGTCGCCAATGTGATTGGCAAAGTCATTCACGATGCGTTTTCCCAGTCCACTCTGTCCGCCCAGAATCAACAAACGAGGACCTCAGAATTCAACAACTGACATCTCCCACATCAGCAGTGCCAGCAGTTCTGCTTTTTTTCAGAGGTTGAATCCTCCAGAAATATCTTCCAAGGCGCTGTTTCTGAGGGAGATCATATCACCTTGCTGATAAGGCGCTCGTGCTTCTTGGCAAGCCATTGGCAGAAAGTGCACTTTCTAAGCACACAGGTCTTGAACTCCCAAGTGGCTGCACAAAGCAGCGAATGAGATGGAATGAAAATGTCATCCTGCTTTAATGGATTTGAGAATGGACTACCCCCCAATTCTAATAGATCATAAGTATCTCCCTGTTTGAAATACCATTTAGGAGTATTTTACTTGAATCCTGGCGAAACAACAGCTCACTGCTGAGATGTGTTCCCTTGAATCTGAGGTGTTTGCTGCATCTTCATCGTTGGCATCTGCACCAGCCATGGCAAGATTTGAAAGAGATCAAGTAGCAGAATCATAGAATCTGGAAATGCTGCAGGTAGTTCACAAGTTCACACCTTGTCAATCTTTCTGAAAGTAGAAACGCTTCAAGGCCAGTAAGAGTCTAGCTGCCAGTGCCCATAATGTGTGGTGTTGTTATGTTTTGTTCCAGAACTTCTATCCGCTTCAACTTGTTCATGCTCTCTACTCTGAGTTGTTGATGAAAAGCCATCGTTTGCAACGGGTGGTTTGTCCGAGGACACGAGTTTGTCCAAGCCAGGCTGGTCTTAAAAAAAAACTTCTACAATGCTCTCCTAAGGTCCTAGTTCCAGGTCTCGTTGAAGCAAAAAGTCCAGCAAAGTCCAGCAAAGTCCAGCAGGACTTGACAGACTCAAGGGTAGACTGGTCACGCTTGGCAATGGCCGTGACAGCACCACACTCAGTATTGGTCAGTGACGGTCCCTTTTTCTCGTGCATAAATTCTTTTGAATCGACCAGCGCCGGCGAGCTAAGGTAGCTGCCAGGGATGGCCATACAGAAAAAAACATACAACTCCTGGAGTTTTTGAGGCCCGGCCCTATGGCCGCATGGTGAATCTGAACTGATTTCAAAGAGGTCACAGGTCGTGCATCAACTCGGCCACGGAAAAACTTCAGGAGCATTTCACACTGTCCCGGTCAGTTTCCTTTTCCTCATACCTAAAGCTTCATGAAACACTTTTTTAGCCTTTGAGTCTGCAGTTTCACGTGTGCCCGGGTTTCTGGAGCGTGCAAAGTGAAGACCAAGAAAATCTAGTTCGAAACAACGCAAAAAGTGAAGATGCAATCAAATTATTTCCGATCGATATATATATATGTGAATCGGAGGTTATCTCCCCGATTATGTGCTGTTGTTTGATCTTGAGGTTGATGTTCTCAACGACGACGACACGGGAGTTGCAGTTTCAGCATGGCGGCGTTTTCTCTTGGCACCTGCAGTGATCTTGAGCCAAAGGAGCAGATTGATGCACCCCTTGGCGGTGGACAATTAAGAGCTGAATTATATGGGAGTGTGCAGTGATCCGTAGCCTACACTCTACTCGCACCCCCCACGCATGGCCAACTTTGTTGGCCACGCGCAAAGGAGTGTCCCTTAAATTGATCCACTACGTCTGCAGCTGTTCATTTATTGAATTATGGAGAGCTAAAGTCCGTTCAGAACTTCAAATCTACATGGCGGCTTGCTACGATCTCTACCAAAAGATAAAGGTTCTGTTCACGTGCATGCTGACACGACGTAGTCGGTGTCCAGCATTGAGGTTCATCCGATGTGGCGTAGCCAGCATGGAATCCCACTCAAGCATGTGAATTAAAAAAATCGAAACACAAATATGACTATGGAACTAGAAGATTACCTTCCCGTTCCTTCGTCGGTTGAGATGTAGACCGCTGTAGAAACTCAGCGTCTCGTGCAATGATGTTCAAAAAATGTGGTTCTAAATTAGCCGGCTCAGAGTCCTCTCAGAAATCATTCGAAATGAAGTAGAGGTAAATCTCGAGCAATGATTGCATCCTCGCTTCGCCAGGTTCAATCAGGACCTATGCAGAGGTCATATCGATTTATCATCTATATCCCCATCCATAGTATCCATGTTGGTTCCAGTCTCCACCACGGTGCGAATAAGATCTTCCACCTTTCCCTTGGTCTTTTCCACCTTCTTGTTTTGGCGGAGGAGCGGCTTCGACGGTTCTCCATGTTGCTGACGATGATGCTTTCGCTTTTGACACTCTGCCCAGTGCTGGTGCTGCCTTTGGGGCTGCCTTCGATTTGCCAGCGGCCGGGTTAGCACGTCCACTATCGGCAGGAACCGGGGTATCAGCAATCGCAAGTAAGTGGGCTTCTGTCATGTGGATGCCCCATCTTGGTCGTTGATCATCCCGTTGTTTGATGTGGTTGTAGTCGTTGATTGCATCATATAGCTTCTGGAGTAGAGGTCGTGGCAATTGTCGGCCATTTTGAAGGATCAGATGCAAAACTGAAATTCTTCGAAGAGGAGGTCGAAGAGCACACACAATGTCAACTGGGTTCAGTGTGATCGTGTCTTGAAAGTCGACGTTCCTGAAGAAATAAACAGCGTTCACTCTGTATGCACCTGCAATGATTCTTCTGACCAGGACATCTTGTCGGTCAAGGGCTTCGCGGGCGGCTGTGGTCTTTCTCATCTCGTCCCTTGTGGAGTCATGTTTCGACAGTTTCTCCATCTCTTCATCGAAGAAGATATTTTGCAAGTCTTCATATGTGTAGCCGCATTCAAGGGTATATACGAGAAGTCGTTTGAGTACTACCGCCCCATAGTATGCATTGACGAATCCCTCTTCCCCGATGTCATCCTTTTGCTGTGGTCGGCCGATTTCCTTGTAGAGCTCTTTCATCTGTTGTGCAGTTGGCTCAATGAGTTCACCATTCTCATCCTCGCCTAGGTAAGGCACCCTTGAGTCCAGGTCCATCCTGAACTTCTGGTTTTGTTGAAAGTGTTTCCATGCCGTCTCGATGTCTCCACAGAAGTTCCGTTGGAATAGTCTGTAGATCCTGACGATATGTAATCCAATCTGCAACAGGAGGATTTTGATGAGCTCCGGCTGAGCATCTCCAATTGTACAAGGCTCGATTGGTAGGACCTTTGATCCAAACTCAACCCTCTTCATCCACTTGGGGTACTCAATCACTGCATCACGAGCTTCTCCAGCCTCATACTCCTCAATGTTGATTTCATCGACCGCTATTTCTTCATCGTCATTTTCGTCGGTCGGTTTTCCTTCCTCATTGAGAAATTTGTCAACCTCATCTTGTTCCCTAAAGTCTCTTCTCTCATCATTGATGTCGCCCTTCTTCGAGGCTTGATCATCATTTTCTTCTTCTGGTTGAGGTTCTTGTTCTGGACTTTTCATGGTGACGTCGTCATCATCTTGCATCAGTTCGTCGTCATCATCTTCACCTGTCAAATCGATCTTCACCTCCTCCCATGCTTTCTTGACATGGTCTTTGAGATCTTCTTCTCGATGATGTGATTCGGCACTTGGTACTGTAGCCACGGTGATCTTGATTCGCTTCCTCCATCCATGACTCACCAAAAATCCTTTGCACATCACACAAATCGATAGTGGTGCAGGGGTCTCCATCAGACATGCGGGGCATAGTCGATGGTCCTCCTTGCTGGGATGATGAGTGACTGCTAACAATGATATCGCATCATTCCAATCCGGATGTCCTGGGAACAATCTGTGAGTATGACTGAAGTGACCGGTCTTGATATCGACAAGCTTTCGAAGTTCGTTCAGATCGGGTGATGATTCATCAGGCACAATGTTCCCAATGAGTTTGTCAAATCGTTCAATGGTGGCCACCCTTCTTGCTCCTTGCACGGAAAGTACAAGTTGATCTCTTCCCTTTGTGATCATGAGACGGTAGTAGTCCTTTTCCTTCCAGTCGTAATACCAAACTGCATCGAATGATTCGAATGGAATTGTTTCTTGGACCAAAATGTGTCCGTCTGCTGATAATCGAGGGGAGAACTTGGCGATGGAATCGTACGTGATGTAGATGTAGACAAGATCAGTTTGTTCAATCTTCCTGAATCTCAGCACCGTCTGACTTCGCACGTCCCACGGTGCGAATGGCACGAAGAACGTATTGATGCGGTCGCCTCCTCCTCCGGGACGTAGTCCTTCTCTGAAGATTTGGGCGATGTTGTCAAAAGTGGTGCAGTGAAATCCTCCTCCAAGAGTGTATCCGACTCCTGGGTTCATCTGGTAGGAAGTCTTCTTGTCTTCGATGTGCACACCGCCTTGAACTCTTGAATGTGCCATAGGGGCTCGGATTGCCACCGGCCAAAGCCAAATCTCTCGATCTGCTGTGCCGATCTCCAACCTCAGTGTGTGTCGTTCAAGTCTCGAGGTCAATCCATCATTGAAGTTGTTCATGACGTATTCCAACTCACCTTTTGTGACCTTGAGTCCTAGCACTTGAGCTCGGATTCTTTTCGTTTGCTTGTACTCAGTGAAGATCACTCTCTGGAAATTGTTCCACCTCTCAACAAGTATCGGGTAGTTGACGTGGGTCGTTCCAGCCAATGTATGTTGGTCTCTCCAAATGTTGTCGTACTTCAAGATCGACTCGACATTGACCCAACCTGCTTCATCGCATGGTAGTCCACGGTGATTTCGATTGTCCTTGACGCAACCCACGGAGTGGCGTAGCGCTGCATTGAATCTTTTCGACAATTCGACTATCCATTGCGGATTTTCCCACTTGTTGCCCATCCACTCATTCTCGCCATATCGATGCACCTTACTCCATCCAAATCCAAGATATTCTTCTCCATTGATGCGAGCAAGTTGAAGTGTACCAATGTTGTGGCCATGTGTGAATGGTTGGATGTACTTGAAGTTCCAGTTGTCTCCATGTTGTTTTCTTTCTTCAGTAAGCCATTTTACATATTCATCATGATCAATGGGGTTCCAAGCGTTCAGCTCCTCAATGGTCGGCAAAACAGGCGGGGATTCCTCAGCCGCACGTTCAATCAGCATATCAAGCTCATGACGATTCTTCACACCTCGGCTAATTGGGTTGACTTCGACACCATTCACTAAGTATTGTCCTCCTTCTTCACGATCACCAATGTCGTACATAAAGGCTGACTGACTGTAGAAGCACTTGGTCACTTCTTCTTTCTCAGTGAATCTGGTTCTTCCCCAACGCTTTCCTCGTGGCATGACGTTCTTTGGGAGCTTGTCTTTT